ATCTGAAGGCCTCTAAATCCTCTTATTCCTTTATAACCACTAGCAAGATATTTCATATTCCAACAATCTAGTAAAGTGGTAGAGGCGATATATAGTTTTCTAACCTCCCAATATTTCCTAGGTTTCTTAGGTAGCGTTTGGTGCGCAAACATGATTGAACAAGATTGGACATCACAGAACTGTACAGAACAAGATGGTAGGACTGAACGAGACATGACTGGACATAACAAGTGTCTATGTGATGTTAGGTATGACTAAGACTGGACATGACATAGCTAGCCAAGTTTCTTCCAAAAGTTATTAGATGATTTTATATATCATATAATAGTTGTAATTAACACAAATAAAGTAAATCATTAAATAATTTAATTTACAAACATTTTTGCACAATTTTCATATACATAAATACACAAATATATAATAGTACCAAAGTTGAATGAAACATTTCATATTATTGATGGTAGTTTGAAAAAACCCGAATTGTACATAGAAGAAATTATGTTTTATTTTGTTTTGGAAGATACTTATCAATTGGCAAAGGCATGATGAAGATTATTGCAACAACAACGGTTGTGGAGGTAGAGACATTGGTGATTGGTAAACGATAGTAGTTGTGGACGACGTAAAGATGGTGGATATTGGTGGTGGTGGCAGTTGACGATGGTGGAGGAAGCAGTTGTAGCCGATGTGGTGGTAGCCGATTTGGTGGTGGAGGTGGAGGTGGCCGACGGTATTAGGGGTAGTGAAGATGGACGGTGGTGGTCGGTGGCCGATGGAGGTTGTGGAGGACGTGGAGATGGTAGATAGTGGTAGCCGATGATAGTGGCCGACGATGGTGGTAGGCAGTGGTAGTGGCGATGAACGATGGTGGTAGGCAGTGGTAGTGGCGATGAACGATGGTGGTCGATGGTCAATGATGGTTGTGGAATAGGTTATTGTAGTAGAGGAGAAGGTGGAGGTGGCCAAGGATGGTAGTGGTGGTGGGGATGGATGGCGGTGGTCGATGGTCGGTGGTGGTTGTGGAGGTGGTGGAAGAGTTTGTTGTGGTGGAGGTGGTCGAGGGTGGCTACCGATGGTCAATGATGGTGGTGGCGGCCGCAACTAGTGGTGGTGACCACTAAAACAAATAGCATATTAAGATTATGGAGATATTGTCTAAGGTTTTTATGCTTGATAGAGTTTTCCACGTCACCAAATACCTATCATTTTTTTTCTCTTTTTGTTTATTCTAGTCTTGTTTGTTTTAAGGACTCAAACTATAGTTGATTAGCTGCACAATTCAAAACTTAATTTTGGCATAAATAGTATACAACAGTTAGTAAAATCGTAGTTGCTAATATTCCAATTTGACAAGTTATTGGAGAAAGTTGATTATGAAGAACAAATTGAAGATCTTGTTTCCAACAATGTTAGATAATTAATGATTCTATTTAAATTAATCTTTTATGTTACCTTTTCATTTAAGACATCTTTGTTGTTTTAATTTGTAAGACTTAATTTTAATATAACTGACAATAATCCTTTTTAAAATTATTGAAGTTAGCTAAATGAGTCGATGATCACATTTATATATTAAACTAATAAGAATCAATATTATCTTTGATATATGAATCTACCTTATCATTATTGGTTGTTCTTTTAATATATATATATATATATATATATATAATTTAAATTNATTTTAATGTAAAATAAGAATGAGAAAATAAAAGATGAATATAAAAAATGGTTTTTCATTAAACTTGGTTTCTCAATATTCCATGAGGAGTAGTTGTTGTCAACCAAACTCTAAAACAATTGTTAAAAACAAATTGTTGGTTCTATTGAAAAAAAAAACTTAAGAAAAATGTAGAAGACATTAGTTAAAGAAAACCTCTAAAATCCTAACAAAATTAAGAAGAATTGCATACTCAGATTAATCGTCTCGAAATAAACCTAAAAAAAATATAACCATTAAAAAAGGGCATATTGAAGTTTGGTGATGCTACATGAAAAATTGTAACAAAAAAACTTTAAAAATCTCAATAAAAGTCAAAAGGAAAGCATACACACATTAGTTTTCTCAAATTATACTTGAAAAAGATAACCATTACAAAAAAATGTTGAAATTTGTTGAGGCTACATCATGGTTTGTAATACTTCCAAGATTCTATCATCAGACGATTAATCGAACCATTGTTGCCATGAAAACTTTAAAAGTGTTGTCAAGAACAAACTCTCCGTTTCATTGAGAAAACTTAGGAAAATCATAGAAGAGAAAAGTAAAAAAAATAAAATTCTAAAATCCCAACAAAAATAAAAAGGAACGCATACCTGAATTGGTCTTCTCGAAATAAACTTGAAAATAGATTTGTTGAAAAGTAACAATTTATGAAATGAAAAACAAATCAATCTCGAAATAAACTTGAAAATAGATTTGTTGAAAAGTAACAATTTATGAAATGAAAAACAAATCAAGTGATGGAGATGAAGAAAAATGAAATGAAAAACAAATCAAGTGATGGAGATGAAGAAAAATGAAATGAAAAACAAATCAAGTGATGAAGATGGAGAAAAAGAGATTGAATGATGAACAATTTATGAAGAAAAGTTAGGGAAAATGAAAAGATTGTGTTAAATGCAAACATAAATGAATAATCAATGTTTATATAAATTAGAATGTGAAACTAAAAAAAAATTATAGGAGAATGAATGAAAAAAAAGATAAATAAATTTTCAACCTTTAGGAGAAGCGAAGTCATCAACCTTGGTTTCTCCTTTAGTATATATATATAGATTATATACGATATAAAATTTTATATTTTGTTTATTTATACTTATTTAGTCGATCTATCGTTTTAATACAAATGTAACATGATCTTCAATAAGATTGAAACCATCCAGAACGTACTCCTCGAATTGAAGGCACGTTCAGTCCGCATATGAAAAAGGAGTGGCACAAGAAATTCATTGTCTTGTGGCTAAATGCAATTCTTTTAAGATGTAAATAGGCAAGGTCCTCTTACTATTGTTTTATTTAAACAATACATGTTTTGTTTAAATAATATAATATTTATATACGACAAAATTCATTCGACCTTCTTACATCTGGTGAGGCTTAAATCTTTGACTTCTAATCAGTAACCCGAATGCTTTAGGCCATCATCTGAAGCATGCATGATGAAAATAGAAAAAAGATGGCTATAAAGCTTTCCTCTATGAGTAAAGCCTCCTCCTCAATTGCTAACAATGGCCTTAAGTGGATCATATTGCACTAATCCTCAAGGATGAGGTTTTAATAGACCAATATAAGATAAATGGAGAAATAGAGGGGACGTGACCGCTGTAGCATCGATCAGATTCGAGGCTATCACTTTCCATTTTCGATCAATTGACTTATTTATTCTTTATAGAAGCACGCTCTTAAGTAATCTTGTCGTGTTCAAGTGCCTATCGTTGGATCATGCATCATCAGCTTAGAATATAAGTACAGGCCTTTAGCGGTTGTTCATATGCTCCTTAAGGGCTGTTTGGTTCACGAAATTCAAAGGAATTTGATGGAATTGAAATGACAAATTTCTTTGATCAAATTTCAATTTTTTTCGGTTCACTTCTTCAAATGGATGGGATCCTTCAAATTTCATTGAAATCTACAAATCAATGAATTCATCATTCATTGGCATAATGGAAGGTTCGAATTCCATCCTTTTGTATCTAATTTAGCCAACACCGACCATCCCTACCCCTGCCAGAATTATGCTACTATTGTCACTCTTACACCCTCACCCCTAGGTTCTTTTGAGTGATTCCGTTCCAATTCCTACCAACCTAGGCATGGGAGTGAGGCGGGGATCCCAACACCCATCCCCGATCCCAATCTCCGTCCCTATCCCTACTAGGGAATATGATCACATCTCTATCTCCGTCTTCGTTCCCAACAGGAATCGGGGACTCTTTTCCGGTTTATGTGAGATATTTTAAATCAAATGTGTTAAATAAAAAACTCGAGCGATAATGGTCAATGTTTAAATCTCATATATATTTCCAAAATTTTGCTTTTATGGAGTATCAAATATGCTTATTTATACTATCATACGTAATTCTTTGATCTAACGTTTTCAGCTTCCAATGTTTTTTATCTAAAAAAAGGTACGACAACTCAGAAAAAATGTATATAGGAAGAAAGGACAAAGTATTATTTCTAAATCTAAAAGGTATTAAATCTAAATATTTATGAGTAATATATATATTTAATAATAAATATATAAAATATTTAATATTTAATATACAACGATGGGCGGGACGGGGACCACGTTACCTGGCGCCGTCCCCATCCCCGATTTTTAACTTTAGGGATCCCCGTTCCCATCCCCATTCCCCGGTTTTGCGGAGAATATCCCCATCTACGTTAGGGCGGGTATATCGGGTTCGCCAACGGGGCATATTTCATTCTCATGCCTATACAAAGCAAATGTGTGGTCAAATTCAATCAAATTTCATTTCAATTCCCTCAAAATTAAATTCTTTCAATGGTTTTAAATTCTACTAAATTTCATTTTACAAACCAAACGTAAACTAACTTGCTTCTTAAGATGCCACGTAATGTTGCTCTCATGACACTCAATCATTCTATCAGCTAGATTCATGTATCATTTACCATTTGACACACACACACACACACATTACACATGTATGGGTCAAACGGCTTGTTTGACATATCAAAAGATGACAATTTAACTAACGGAGAACAAAGAAAGCATTTGATTGCTAAACATGTCCAAGTCTTTATGGATGCCAATCTTATATGTTAGATTTTGTCACGCATAAATGTCTCAAAATATTTAATGATGTGTTTTCTTGCAGAGAAATCTTTGTATATATATATATATATATATATATATGTGTGTGTGTGTAGAATACTTCATACAATAAAAAAGAAAGAATGAACATTTTGATATCTTAGCCTTGAACAAAACAGGTGACAAATGAGAGTTTTATAGCCCTAAAAACATGCAGCTATTGTCAAACACAAACTGAAATACAATACTATTTAAAGGTTTATACTTGGACATAACAAATCGATTTGATGAGCCTCCAACGTTCATATAGTAACAAATCGTATTATCTGGGAATATTTGGAGGATATATGAGATTAGTATCGATACTAAAGCCCGAAGAGAGTTCCCCGGTACTGGAGTAGGGGTTTATTGATGCTGGATAAAGGTCGGATGGTTCGGTCTCTATGTTTAACAAGTTTGCATTCTCTTCATCATCATGTCGACTTGCCCATGGATGTTGAGTGAACTTACGTAATCCTTCGAGTTGAATTGCCACTTCTTTCATCGTAGGTCTCTCATCGCCCGTAAGGTTAAGGCATCTTTTCACAAGTTGAGCAATTTCTTGAAGTTGCTCGAGGGTACCTTCCTTTACAACTCTAGGCTCAAGAATCTGAAACAAACGGTTCTCTTTTAGTGACACAAGGAAATATGTAGCCAGATTTCTTTCATGGTCGGGTCTGTCCATGCACAGAGGTTTTTTCCCGGTTAGAAACTCAGCAAGCAAAACCCCAAAGCTATAAACATCACTCTTCTCATTTAGTTGACTTGTGTTGAAGTATTCAGGATCTAAATACCCTAGTGTCCCTTGGACAAGGGTAGTTACTTGTGTTTGATCTATTGGGATTAACCTTGAAGCTCCAAAATCTGCAATCTTCGTCGTGTAATTATCGTCTAGTAATATGTTTGCAGACTTGATATCCCTATGAATGACAGGCGTGGATGCAGCTGAATGAAGATAAGAAAGTGCACCAGCAGATTCAGCTGCTACTCTTAAACGATTCTCCCAAGATAACCAAGTCATGGCGCCTTTACCATGAATATGATTGAAGAGAGTTCCGTTGGAGACATATTCATATATGAGCAATGGAACTTCGCTCTCTAAGCAGCATCCCAAGAGCTTCACTACGTTCCGATGGTTAACTTGTGTTAAGATTACCACTTCATTGATGAATTGTTCTAGTTGGGTCTCATCCATTACCCGAGACTTCTTGATTGCTACGACTCGTTGGTCACTAAGAATACCTTTATATACAATTCCGTAACCACCTTGGCCCAAAATCCTGTCTTCTGCGTAATTGTTGGTGGCTTTCTCCAACTCCTCAGCAGTAAATACTTTTGTTGAGTCGACACTGACCTCGTTGCTCATGATTCGTTGTTTCAGTAGCAAACCACCATTTTGTTGAAACAACTTCTCTCGAAGTTTGATAAGCTTCCTCTTCTTGACACCAAAATACAACCATGTTATTCCAACTAAAACAACCAAGAAACCAAACCCCAAACCTGCATATATTACCCCACACATCAAAGAAAGTTAGTCATGATGACTTGTGGCATCCGAACTTAGAATATCGAGTCCTTACTGTGAATAAAGTAAACGTAGACGGATAAACCGATAGAAAGCAATAAGAATACAAGTGGCTACCTAGAGAGAACTTGATAACGGGGAACTGTGAATTTTCAGGAACACAAGCTCGTCCGGTTTTCAGGCCATCTCCAACATAGCCTTGTGGGCAGGAACACGTAAAGCCTCCAGGAGTATTAGTACAAATCCCCTCACAGGGATTACTGTTGGGATCTTCACATTCATTGATATCTATCAGTTGTTCAACCATTTGCAATAAGATCAGACACAAACTCAGTGGTTATTTAGTAATAACAGAAAGAAAAGATCTAACCTTGGCAGCCTGGATCAAGATATGGCTGGCCCTGATAACCTTGATTGCAACTGCATCTGTATCCTGGAACCCCAGTATCAGAATCAATGCACTCAGTATTTGCTTGACAACCCAAGACACCAGCACTTGTAGCCTCGCTGCAGCTCAAGTTACCGATCACCCAATCCACCAATACTGGAACACTAGCCCTGGTCCGATTCCTGAAATTTGGGTCCATAAAATCTGACACCCCATTGAATGTAAACCGTTCTTTTTCCCCCAAGAACGAGTAGGTACAAGGATCAAAAGACCAGATACTTGTGTGGTTTGCATACATGCTATAAACAGAAGTGTAGTAGTACTTCATTCCCTTTGGGATGGACGTTTGACAACACCCAACACCGCTACAGGACCCATTCACAACGTCCTCAGGTCTTGTACACAACGCAATGCATCCACTGGTGAAATTTACTTGTTCAGGTCCTAAAAATAAGGCGAAATCATCACATCCAATCAAAGTGAATTGATTTTGTTGCGAAAACGTGAAAGGTGATGTCCAACCAAGACTTAACTGCGCAGGATGATCTTCTATGACACTTCCATTCTGATCATAACATTTGCTTGCCACTGTGTTAGCGACTCGGAAAGTAGAATCAGATATGTCAATGATATCCACACCGCCTATGAAGGGCTTGTGAGGATTAAAACTAGTGTTGCAGGTCATTTCGAACCAGTCGCTCATAAAGCAGCCTGGACCTATCCCAAATGGATACGGAATGGTCACGTTTCCACATTGGCTTTGGCAGCCAGGCTTGGTGACGTTGGTGGCTTTTGTGATGGTGGCAGCATCACCGGTGGTGTTGGTTGTGTGAGATACAGACACCGTGATTGCAAGGCCAAACATGAACAAAAATAAATGAAAGTTACGTGTGAACATCATGGTTATGGAAGAGGAGGAGGATCTTCTTGCAGTAGAGAGATGGATTTAAAAGCAAATGGGTTGTTCTCTTTTTCTTCTTATGGTCCCATCTTTGTCTTGCGTTTTGTCATATATGTCACCAACCATTGATGCTTCGTCTCCGTTTACACTGGTTGGTTGATATTTTTCAATTCTTTAATCTTTTTTTCTCATCCAGCAAGTCATAGAAGGCCTTTTTTTTCGATTGTTTAAAATTACACATTCTTATAAATTGTAATTTATTTTTGGTATATTAATAAAAAATGATAGTCAAACGGACTTAAAGTGAATTGCATCTGCATTTGCAAAGGTTTTATTCGTATAATTATTTATAAAAAAAACATTCTATTAAATAAAATGACATAACAAAATCAAATGATTAATGTCGATATATATATATATATATATATAGAGGTTGGTTATTATACAACCCTTGTCATTTGTGCAACCAATACAACCTAATCTCAACCGTCCATTTCATTTGATTAATATGTG